ATGTAATGTATGAATATAATGTACAAGTTTCACTTTTTAAATGGAATTACTGAAATAAATCTACTTTTTCATGATACTGTATTCAAATTTTATGACCAGCACCTGTATATGTTTTTATTTATTTTTTTCTTCAATTACTCTTAATTTTGTATTCTGTTTTGTCTTCCTATTAAATATGTGAAGCACTTTGGCCAACAGCGGTTGTTTTAAATGTGGTAGGCCTATATAAATAAAGCTAACTTGACTTTTTCTCATAATATCATGACTTTATTGTTGTAATTAAAAAAAATAAATCTCATTGTGTGGCACTCTGTCCACTAATGTCTGTCATTAAGTTTTCTTTTAAATGAAACCTCAGCAGGCCTCTGACTAGCCCTCTCTGTCTCTGAACTTTCACTGTGATGATGTTGCAGAACAGATTGGGTCACTTGCCTTTCACAATGGGTCCCGGTGGAGGATGCTCCAGTCTGGGAGCTCCAGGGCTTTCTGAYTGGCTCGGTTCCATGCCCTGTATCTGCTGCTCCAGTCAGTCTCTCCATCTGCCGATCGAGTGGAAACAGGTTTTGTTTTAGGCCTCCTCTGAATCTGCTTCCTTTGGCTCTGTTAGGCTGTTGAAGTATTTGTATAGCGGATCTTGTGGTTTCCTTGTGTCTGCAGCTCTTCCTGTTTCACAGCCCTCATGCAGAACTGCACCAATCACGTGTGAGAGAAATGAACAAACATTTTTCTTCTTATTTTTACATCTTTCTTCATGAGCCTGATGTAAAAATACAACYAAAATGAAAAGTCTATTCCTGAAAAGAGTGCACATTGCCCGCGACTATTCATAGCAGAGTTTTAAACTAAAATTGACTTTTCATCCCTTTGCACTTGTAGGTTCAMTGTAGTATGGATACCAGTATTGATACTTTGTATAGTATTGGGGCATTTGTACGAGTTGTAAAAGGCCTGGTATCATGCCCAATACTGGTATCAGTATTGGAACACCACTACTAAAATTTATCTTCAAATGAGAACTTRTGAATGTTTAGCTAAAAGTGCCAATATTATGTGGTTCTTATGCATATAGTTCAATTCTATACCACAATAAAGCAGTCTCTTTCAGTTGTATTAAAATGCTGTTCATATGTGTAAATCAAAAATAAATTTGACCACATCACAGCCATTTCTAAACACCTTGAAATTGGCCTCTGTCTCTTAAAGGACGTCCTACAATTCAGGCATGGTAAGGCCTGAATTC